ACCTTTTGTGATAATCGGTATTGAAACGAGAATAAATGTAATGAATCTTTTCTAAAATACGGAGTTCCCCTTGTGTGTAATATGAAGAACTCTGTAAAAAGAAAGTTCCGTCAACATTATTGACTCATTTTTAAGTAAGCAAAACCATATTTTACACCTGCTAATTTAAAAGAAACTCTCTATACGGTCGACTTAATGTTTATTTTTTTCGAATAAAATTATATATATTAGTGCAAAGTAAACCTAAAATAATGATACCAAACAGTCATTTTTGTGCAATTCCCCCAAAGGAACCTTATCTTTTCTCTCGACTGAAAATGACCAGCCAGCCTCAAATTACAAAAACGTTCAATTTTTTTTAATATATGACTTGATATATGGTACAGAATTGAATATTTTAAAAATGGAAGTCTGAAATGGTTTTTGCTTTGGATTGGATAAGTTCAAATCACTTTGTAAAAAGTCCACAGCTTCTATACTGAAATACTCAACTAATTCCTGGAACTGTTTTCAAGATTTTTTTTTCAAAAAATATTTTTGTCTAACTTATTAAAAAAACACCCTTTAACACTTACTAGAGACATAAGAAAAAGCAAAATTTTATTTCCAGAGAATATGTTTTTCTTAATATAATCATACAGATTGTTAGATCAAATTAAAAAAAAAAGCAATCAATACGTAGCTTAAATGTTCATTAGGACAAGGAAGTTGTGAACTCTGGACTCTTTCAAAACATGTCAAATGCGGGAAAATTTGGCACGGAGGTGAAAGCACCCCCTTTGATGATTACTTTTTTGTATAGTATTTTAATATATATATAACAATTTAAAATATCCTCCACGTAGTATATGATGCGTACTTGAATCTATATAAAATACCTATCTTATATAAATTTTAAAAAAATATATTGTTACGGTATATAATGACAGGGACTTATGTTCTTCTGTTCAAAACATGAAGACAGATAGAGATATCTTTTTTATTTTTTTCTCTTCTAGGATAGAATACTCAGACAAAGGGATGCTACCTGTAAGATAAAAAAGACATTATTTGAAACCATCAATATGTTTTTTTTCCTCTAAGAAATCTTTTTTTTTTGGTAAATGATGATTGGTAGTAAATTTTTCATACAAAAATAGAACTCCAAAAATTAATTAACTACTCCAAGTACAATCAGATCAGAGATCCTTGTGGTTATTAACATATATTGTTATGGTCATTCATAAATGTTTATCTTTTACAGCTGGTATACTTAGTAAGCATTACAAAAATCATCTGGCATCATGTCACATAAATAATTATATTATGTTTGTGTGGCAATGATCCATTACAACCTGCAAATAAATTGTTGTCTTGTTGTTTCTTATCTACAAATTATACACATTGTTCCTTGGGGAGAAGCGGGGCATTGGGGGGGAGGAGGGGGGTTTGATTAATAGAGTAGGAATGTCAGCAGTCGCATTACGATTTAATAATTCTAATATTTCATTTCATGGTTGTTGCAATGGTCTTGCTTGAGGAATCCGACGCTTGAATGTTCATGTCTATCAAGCAATATGTTTTCCTTGTATTTTTTCCTGTTTACACTGTACTCTATCTTGAAATATGCTCAGCAGATGTTGTCAGTCTACCCGAGATGCTTGCTCCTTTATGTCAAAGGTGGCCAACTTTGTTTTCGGAGTCTGGTGGTGTATAGTTTTTAGATGGGATTTGAGTTTATTTTTTTCCTCTGGTCATTTTGATTTAATATTTAATTATTTTGGTGACAGGGAAAAAAAATCGAATTTCGAGGATTGAACAAGAAGTAATCTCCCATCTCTTATAAAATCTTTCAACGGTTCCGAAACAAATTTTTACAAACTATCAAAATCCATTTTGACTTTTACCTTAAAATGCTAATGAGCTGTTCGCTTCTTATTTTTTTGTTTATTATGAAATACATATATAGTTTTTTTTGGTTCTATTTGTCTGTCATCACACGACAGGAATATATCTCTTTGGATAACTTTTAGTTTATTTATAAATGAATGAAATCACTCATATGTGTTATTTCATATGATATCCTAATTCGTGTAGTTCGAGCTAGTACATTAAAATGTATTTACATTTGTTAAAGGAGGGTAACGTAGCGTCTGATTTACATTCTTGTTAATTTTACTTGATCATATCATGTTTACAACGTCTGTGTAGATTACTGGCACGTAGCAACATAGACGGGGAGCTCGGAGGGCCAGGCCCCCACTTTCTCCCAAGCATAATTTGTAAGAAGTCAGTATTGAAGAAAAGTTGGTAATTACCCCCCTCCCCCTCCCGCCAACGAAACAGGATTTTCTAGTTTGCTCAATTTTTTTTGCTTGTCAATTTCTTCAGGTAAGTCAAATGCTTTGTCCATCTGCCCTCCCCCCCTTCCCTCAATTTCAAAACTGATGCTACGTCATGGGAGTATAAGTACACTGTATATCAATATTGACATTCTCAACAACGGAATGTTGACAATGTTAACAGGATATGGTTTTTTATATCGTCTACATTGTTTCCTTTCCCCATCATGTTGACATCGTCGAGATTTCAATGTTGACAGTGTTTTTGCGATATCGAGTTTATTTACGATGTACATCCTAAACATCGCAATGTATGTAATCAATTCGTGCTGACATTTTACATCGTTTAACGTTATGATAACGACGACGCTAATTATGTGTAAGAAAGGGGTTCAACGATGTTGTTCAACATTCGATGTAGACAATGTTAACGATGTTCTAGTACAAAAAAAAACACAATTTCAAGTCGATATCGTCCAACATCGCTATGTCGACCATGAGAACGAGGTAAACAAGGAAACATAATTAACGCAGAGTTGAAGCAATGTCATTTCATCTAATAGAGCAATATTGACAATGTAAACAGGCAAAAAGGTAAAGAATAATGAGACAACAATACAGTGTACGTAAACTTGAAATCGTCCAATGTTGGAATGCCGACGAAGTGAACAATCTAAACAATAAAAATTGATAAAATGCTGACAAGATTTCTACAAGTTTCTTTTAGTTTAACACTACAATAGAGATAAACAGATATATTGTCAAACTTCCCTTTATAAACAATGTAGCAAAAAAGGACTGCAATGTTGAAATGTCTTCCAAAATTTGGACGTTAAAATGGTTTCAGAAAAAAATGCCAGTTGAATTAGGCGCAGTGTCGAAAATTAAGAGGTATTTAGCAGTCTATGAAATAGGAGCCATTTATGCAGCGATATTGGCAATATCATAAAATCATCGTGCACTGTACATACGTACTGGACGTAACATGAATAGCGCCCTCACACACACAACGCATTTAATTATTTCTTGCATCTGTTCATTTTTGGACATGCAACCGATTAATTAATAAACGATTATTTTTATAACTTTGTGGTGTATTTCCTTTCTTTCTTGTTCATTTTCGAACATCAAGACTGACGTTAGGTCAGATTTTATAACTCTTCAGCATTTCCGTTGAACATTTAAAAGATCCTGGGAACACATATGCAACATTGAGGTACGGGAAAAGAAAAAATAAATTCTTTGCGCTTCTACCCAAAATTTCTTTGCAATGGAAAATTGCAATAAAAATACAGATAATGTCAAAATATAAATAAAGTTTCGACACTCCCGACTGACAAGAAAATATGATTTAACCAAACTGAAACAAAGTTGTTAAAGTCATTTGATCAGGGATATTGAAATTGAACGTGAAAACGAATGAAAAAGTATATACATCTTAATATTCCTTCACTTTCATTACAAAGCAGAACATTACACTCAACGAACTTGTGAAATATCTGGTTCTTGATATTACAAAAAAGAATATACAAGAATAGAACCATATAGAAATCCCGAAAAGTTTTCAAGTGGCTCAAACGTCTATTAAATAATAAGACAAGAGAATTATCAGTGACTTAACACTGATTATAGTTTTTGAAATAATTAAATGGTTGAAAAGGAATGATTTTATATTCATGACTCATCCAATCTTGGTCAGAAAACTACATGTAAAAACATTGATCTAATTATTGTATTAAACAGGCCAATAAAAAGCTCTTTAGTTTTTCCCGGCTTGACCTGTTTTTACAGGTTTAAGGTAAACATCAGAGTAATTCTATTGTACCACACATTCATATAATAAAGAAAAATAAGGTCAAATGTCATGTTTTGTGGTTTATTAATACTTGTACTCTTGGCCCCGATTAAGGATCTCATTTAATGTCAGTCTGTGCGAGAAAAAATATAAAACATCGAAATTCTTATTAATTATTAAAAATATTAAATATTAAAAAGTGTATTAAAGCCCATATTTGTAAAGTTGGAATATACCTTTGATCTATATTATTGTTTGTTGTATCCATATGTTCCATAGTTATATTAAGAACTAAAGTATTTGATTTAAAAACAACAATAAACAAATTACTTTTAGCTGCATTTAAATTGATATATTTTGAATTTATTTTGAGACATTTTTGTTTTTATGTTTCATCAAGTTCCAAATATTATGTCTTTTTTATCATTACATAAGGCAATTTGCAAAAAAATGTTATATTTTCTAAATAATATGGCAGTTAATTTGATAAAGTAACAACTAAGGTACTTAAGACCCTACTTTTTTATATGTTCGATTAAGTTCGTATTCTAGAATAAAAATCAATAACTGAACTTAATGGTGATGGGTCATTTCTCTTTTAAACTTAACATAATGACATATTTAATTTACCACAAATCACAACAGAAAACATAAACACACGGTACTTAAAACAATGATGGACATATTAATTTCATCATTTATCTTGTTTTATTTCATTGATTTAAAAATATCTCTTTTGGGGGTAAAGTGCAAGAAAGGGGGTTTCAAAAGTGAATTTCCAATCAGGAGTGTAAATGGAATTTCCTTTTTTCATTTAGCCAATAAAATATCGTGGCAAAAGTATAAAAAGATGATGAACTGTTAGATGTTCTTAGAAATAAACTTAAAATTATTACTTGCATCTGAGATTGTTCGATCTAGAACTTCAAGGTAAATTCTTTTCATTTCAATATCATGTCAATTCTAACTTATAATGAATATGAATATTATGATGATATTTATTATAAAGTCATACGTGTATAAAGAACGTTTGATTTTAAAGTCATACGCTTAAGGTCAGACGACACCTTCCTCAAATATATGTTTTGTATTTCTTAGTATTATATGAAAAAAATATGCATAATTGTCATCCTCTTGGGATTTCTACACCGTTTTTAATATGTCTTTAAATATAAGTGCAACAAAAATATTTAAATAGGTCATTCATCAGATTTCCCATATGGGTTAAATAAGAAATATCACCCTGTTGTATCTTGTCCAAATGCCTGGTAAGGTACCCTAATTTTTTGTGAGGAAACTTGTTTAAGTACCTAGACTTTTTTTTATTTAGAAAAAAAAACTATTTAAAAAAAAAGTGTCGTCTGACCTTAAATGTTTTTAAACGCTTACAAATAGTAAAGAAGGCTCATAAAAAATGAAAAACAGGAGAATTTCATAAAATTAAAAAGTTTATAAAGTAAACTGTAATCTCTCTTAAATTCATAAATATTTGCAATGTCATGCTTAAAGATTGTTCAACGGTTAATGTTTATTTGTTATTACTTTTTTACTAAAGTATTTTTTCGCAATAAAACCCCCTATATCCCAAATTTTCTTCATCATATATTATACCTTGAAAAACAGAAAAAAAATCAACATTATCTTAAAATATGCCTGATCTGCCAACTGGCGTTAAGGGATAAATAAACATCGGGAATCCGATTGTAGAATGAACGATGAACAATTATTCATAAATCATGTTTATAAGCAAGAAATGCCTGTAGAAATAAAAACATGCGTATTATATTTATTTTGGAGATCTTTAAATATTTGCACGGATTTTCTTTTCTTTTTTAATTTAGATAATTTAAAAAAATGATAAAATTATGAACATGTATATAGATATAACTCTTAATAGACAGTGTGTATGCTCACTTGTTATACGGCGTTATTTTGCATAATACCTTTCTGTCTATTTTTTATTTTGAGTATCTCAATATCTAAAATACTGTTTTCTTTCTAAAGAAAGGTTTTAAGTGCAATTTCTAAGCCAAAGCTAGCAAGCCATAATGGCTGAACGGTATAGCGTTCCTGTAATCGGTTACAGTGTATCCTAGGTCTGATGTTACCTCTCTAGTAAAACACCATAAGTGTGACTAAGTCACAGTGATTCTTGATTGTCCCTTTTTGCTAAAAAAGAATGGTAAAATCAGTGTGTGAATGAAAATTAATACTATTAAGCGACCAAACGTATTTACAAATTAAAAGTTACAATAATTTCTGGTCTTCTTGTAGATGTTTATTCGCTTAGGGTCCTACACAAAAAAAAAACTGATAAAATAAATTCTGTATTTCTATACATTTCATACAATATTTCCCTACAGATTTATTTTGTTTTGCTTATCAAAGCATGGGGTTGACTGCACTTTTGACCAATGGAAATCTCTGAAATTTTCATGAGAAGGTGATTTATATGTCGCCTTCACATTTTTTTTAGAAAAAGATCAAAAATTGTTTGTCATCTTCACTGTGTACACATTTTTATGCGTGAGTTAACATTCTTTTAATTTTGAGGACCTATGCATTTTTTTGGCAAAACTAAGAATGACAGTCCAATGATTTATATCCTTCTTGCAAACTAAAGGAAGCTTATCAGTTAATGTAGAGAGATATAATCTAGAAAGGATATAAATCCCTGTCCTTTATGTTTCAGATGAGGACTTATGTCTTGATCTTTGTGCTGTGTGTTCTCTCACTAGAAGTTGTCGATCCTGTCCAGAGTCAATTTTCATGCTCGAGAAGCTGCAACGGCCGGGACTGCCGCAGAACTTGTTGGCGCATGGGACGCCGTATAGGGGTTTGTCTCCCCTGTGGTTGGTTTAGAAGAAGATGCAGATGCTTCTGATGAGAACATACTCTCAAAGGAACAATGAGTCAATGTATTTCATTTGAAAGAAATAAAAAAGATCACGTTGCACTCTGGTTTGCTTACATGAGTTCACACCGAATTGCACATCCCCTTTAAATATTGTTGTATCGATTCCTAAACAAATTTATGAGCTGAAAATAACTTATATGTTCGTAAAAAATAATTCTTATGTAACTCTGAAATTTAATTAAATTTCATAATATGTAAATGATTTCATGTGCCATAAAAAGTAAGACATGGTTGATGATAGAAATTTTGATACTCAAAACTATATCAGAAATAAATTGCAGAAATACAAATAAGCCACAAAACAAAATATATTAAGTAATGCGATTTTTTTCCGAAGTTTTGAACATTTCATTATTTTTCACTTGTTGACTTAATTGACGCAAAAAATCACTATTCTTTTGTTTTTTTAAAACCATAATTAATACAATTATATGATGGTTGCATTCAACACAGCCCCCTGAAAATTGGAGTGGTTGGGTCAGCTGCCAAGGAAGAATAAGCATCCCCTATTGACTTGACACACCATTCGTGAGCCCTATGTAATGATAAGGTAGAAAATTCAAAATAATAAAAGTTGCTCTCTCAAGGGTTGTATGTGGGGTTGAAAGTACTTTAGAATGTACGATTTGCTGCACTTCAGAGAAATGCACCGCCGAGACATGTAAATCTATCGGCTACGGAAGGGGTTTCTGTGTCCCTTGTTCATCGAGAAAAGTGGCAAATGTGTTTGCGATGATGAAGAAGATCAACTATCATAAAATTATTCACTTGAAGAATAAGTTGTGCAAATTAAAAATTTGATTAAATTGTACTTCATGTTGTTTGCTCATAGGCGTTAACTCAGGAACAGTGAAATAATTTTTATCCTAAAAGTTTTTATATAGTTCGTAATATGAACATTTTGTGTTGGGAAATCTCTCTTTTATGCATTCTAACCTTTTACAAAGTGATAATACATATATATGCCTGTAATGGTGAAATAAATTACCTTTTTATATATGGTTACATTAATTTCAATCACCATACATAAACTTTTTTTTCAGTGCGATACAGAAAAAAAGACAAACATAAATGACATACATATATGATCACTTCAAAGATAGAGAATTACATTGATAACTAGGGCTAATTGTAACGGGAACCGTTACAGATGTTCCCCAAACGCTCCCCAACTCCCTTGTGGTGCCTTTTTCCCTGTAAGCTTCATTAAATAAGACGAACTCTATGCCTTTTAGACTATAACAATGTTTTCCCAGAAGTATATTAAGTATATTCAAAATTATGCATTGCACGCGTGCGCATTTGAATGCATGTGAGTTTTGACAATATCACGCGCATACACGTGCGCTGCAATCTGATTGGCTTAAACTTTAAATGGTAATAAGTTCCTTGGTTATCAACCAAACAGGATGGGATTTAGAACATAGATAGACATAAGGGACTCCTACAAAAAGGTATGATCATCATGCACACGCATGCACGTGCGTGCAAGTGAAATGAGTAATATTACAAATACACTAGATTAAAATTATTTTTTAATACTTTAGGATTAAATACTGTAATTTCTAGTATAGAAAATACATAAATAGTGTAGACAAGATGATATGTCAGACATGTGTAAGGAAGAAACCCTGCTGACCTTGTTTAACATTTGAAATTGTTGAAAACAGAATTAGAATAAAAGAAAAAAATATAGAACTATTTGACAAAAACAAAGCCAATAAATCTTTAAGTATTGAGATCACCCTAAACATTTCGTTTTCTGTAAATCAAGCAAAACTCCTGAAAGAAAAAAATATATATTTCAGATTTCAAGTCAAAAAGAGAGAAGAAGATTAATACACAAACATCATAACATTTAATTGGAGGAATATCTCTAATTAGCTTTGCATCTGTGAACATTTCTTTTTGTCCTTCACATACTACATGTAGTATGCGTATTTGTTAAACCAAATAATTTAACATCATTTGAATCTGTTTTTATATTGCTCCTCAACAATGAAGCAAAGAGAAAACATAGAATTTTGTCAATTATCTTCTGTTTTTAAACATGTTTAATATTCTACTAGAAACCAATAAGTTAATTTCTCTTTCTTACAGGCAATGTCCTTAAGCGCAATACGTTTTCAAGTAATTATTTACATAGAACACTTAGAATTAGATTTCAAAGTCAAAATTTCTGTTGTAGTAGATGTCATGTTTTAAACAAAATGCTGTTTTAATTCAAACGTTTCTTCAAATGTTTTAACAGCCGTTATTCACAAAAATGACGCAAGCTAAATTACATTTCTATATTTCAACTTGTATCATTTATTCCAGATGAGGACAGGTGTCTTACTTCTGGTGCTCTGCCTTCTCTGGTTGGCAGTTGTTGATCCTGTTGTCAGCCAAGCTACCTATCACTGTTCAAGGAGATGCAGATTAGTTGATTGCGTTTCAAGCTGTAGGCAACAAATGTTCTGTTTTGGATTATGTTTCCCCTGCCTGTTCAGAAGACGAAGATGCATATGTTTTTAAAGAGGGGATTCTTTTGGCTGACATGTGAAAAGATATCAGTCAAAGAAAGAACAGAAAGCATGATATTAATTGAATTCATTAGGAGAAATGAAAAATAAAAAAAAGAAGAAATGATATTACACTTTGTTCTTGATGGGATTTTACACATGATGGTAATAGTCCCAATTCTAGAGTTGCTTCTTAAACAATTAAATTCTTTTATTCTTACCGCTCCCTTTAGTATACATGTACTCTTCTCTGTATCTTTGGCTTTAAACCAAAGATATATTCATGTTTTTTATGCAGATTAAAAATAAATCATGTACATGTTGCATCGATGATGAATTGTTACGAGGCGAAAATGTAAAAATAAAGGAAGAAGTAAAACATTGATTATTACATTTTGTCTTATTAAACGTTTGTAAACATCAAAACAGATTGTAATAACAAAAAATGAAATAAGTAGGATTCTCAATTGTTTCAAATTTAACTTAATAAATTTGCTACACTTACACGATTTTTTTTTTTTTTTTTTTTTTTTTTTGAGTTTTATATACATTTATTTCCAATATCATACAACATATTTTGAGGTAAAACTTCCTCAGAAGCCCTCGGTTAATACCTCACCTGGGGTGCCAGGAGCTCCCTGGATCGGTATATTTTTCAATTTTCAATTTAAACAAGTTTACAATAGAGAAGAACTAATATTTCATTTTCACAAAAAGACATAAATATTTCAGTAAAAAAAAAAATTCATATTTAATAGATATATAGATAAAATATCAATTTAATTACAACGTATATAGAAAAATAAAGATTATAATTCGTCTGCTAACTTTTTCAAAAGATAGTAGTTAGATTTAACACTTTTTGCACACTTTGCTATTACATAATACTGATATAAAGACGATTTCAAAAAAATAACATTGCATTTTGATTTACTATTTCGTTTTGCAACCTACATTTCATTTTATATTTATATATTTTGCATCCCACAACTGACATATTATGACATTATTAAAAATCAATGTTTTGTTATTGAACTCATTATAAAATCCTTACACGAATTTTAATATTCTTTTTTTCTAAGCATTTTCAAAGTTTAAAACATAAAATGTTGTTAAATTTTTTTTTCCAAAATGAAGAAATCCTGAAATGATAATTAAAGATAATTAATCAAAATCTAGTTTAACTGAGTGTAAAACAAAAATTAGAATGTCTCTACATGTAATACATAAGTGAGCTGTGCCTTCTCCGCCCCCTTAAAAAAGAAATATTAGCGTATGGAATCTAAAGATATTAGCATAGTAAAAAGGTTTTTAATTCTTTAACCCAGAATTGAAAATAATAATGAAAAATAAATTAAATACCCAGAGTGTCAAATTAAGGTCATAAAATCTAGTTTTAATCAATATGCGTATTCGAAAATTTTATTTGATTGGGTCATCTAAAGAGTCTTATCCTGTGAATTTAAATCTCATCAGCTTTACATCATGAAATGCAATCGTACATTTGAGACAATCCGGCAAAGTTATTCCGGTAAAAGTGTTTATTGTTATGTTCCCGCTAGGTGGCTTTATTGGACACAAAGGGTATAAATATAGCTGTAGCGGCAGATTAAAATCAAAGTTCTGAAAGTACTGGGAAGCGCTATGCATATTGATTTGAAATTCATCAGAATTATTTCGAATTTAAATTGTCTGTTCTATTGAAGTTTAAGCAATATATTGACAGTGCGAAAGCGCTAGGGCGAGCACAATTGTTTGGTACATAATCAAATACTAGTATGTGAGTCCTGAAAAAATTCCCGTTGGATTATGAAATTCAACATTGTCTTAGCCTTTTTTATTTTAGGCATTTTACATATTCTTCTTCTGTCAAAAGATCTATCAATTTCAGAAACATCATATTTCAAGATTTTTTTTTTCCATGTAAAATATTTTCCCCCATCACCTTGTAGGAATCTATTAGAGGTAATATTTGCTTATGAATTGCAATTTATTGGAGACGATAATCAGGTTTTCCGATGAAACTTAGAGTCTAAATGTAGCTCTACATTTGATTAAAAATGTATATTTTGAAATAAATTTGAACACTTCAAAATGTCGCTAAAATTCCTCTCCTTTGTGTTCAACACTGAAAGCTAGTACAAAGTTATTCAACTTTATTTATTTTTACTAACCACTAGTAACTTGCCTCCAGTTTAAGATTTAAAACTTAATTATTAAAATCCCATTTGAGTTCTTAATTATGTATTTATTCAATCACTATATTACATATACACGATAAATAATATACTGCCTTTAATTACGTATTTGTGCCATAGACGCAGCAATTGTTAGCTACATGGTACAAAACTAATGTGTGTCGACATGATTTAAATAAACTCCAGTGTATAGAAAAGAGCATGATAAGAACTGCTCTTATCTACTAATTGTTAAATATTTATTTACCTTACTGATTGCCTCCTATTATTAGAAATGCGCGTAACACAGCATTGCACCAAAGTAGCATAAAGAGACTCGGGGATTTCCAGTTGCATATTCTTAGAACAAGAGGCACACGGGCCTTATAGGTCACCTGAGTATCATGTAACAACTTTCCAGCGATTGTATTTGGTTCGTGTTTTAATCCAAAAGCCATGAAATTCGCAAATTTTGAAAGAGGCACCATATTGCTTATCAAAGCGCAGATTTCAAAGCATTAATTTATTTTTAGTCAAAGTACCCCCTGGTACCCTGGCCCAGCGGCCCTGAAATTATCTATTTTGAAAGGGGCCCCTTTCTTCATTAGAAGGCCAGCAATTTTTTATGTTTAGGTTTAGTTATGAACATGAGAATAAAAAAGTCCTAAAGGAGAAGGAAATAAAAAAAAAATGATAAATCAATTATTAACATTTGTACATTCTTTTTTATGCCATCCTAATAGGCTCCTTACCACTGGACACATAATGCTTAAAAATAGGAAAGTAGAACATTTAATTGCTTATTTCATCATCTGCCAGTTTGGGCCAGTTATATAAATTTTGTGATGTTGATCAAAATATATCTTAAAAATCAATTCTTTAAAAGTCTTTCAATATATCTTCATTTTTTAAATATGTGTTAGGTGAATGTGTAGGCATTGTTCGAAAATTTACTTGATCCCTAAAATTATAATTCCTATCATAAAACAGACAGGGAGTATTGGGGAGTAGGGTGAACATTTTTTCAATTAAGTGTAAAATAATTTTTCTGGCTCATACAAATGATACTACATGTCTGTATATATTTGTATATTCTTGCCTTTTAATAGTTGAATTTTTTTTATTTCTTCAGGTTATTGTTTATTTCTTCCGTTGTTATTGAAATGCACTCTCAAACACTATTGATATAATTATTTCAATAGTGGTTGTATTTCAACAGTGGTTACTAACTATGTTTGCTATTGAAATGCACTCTCAACAACTATTGATATAATTATTTCAATAGTGGTCGTTATTTCAATAGTGGTTGCAACAATGCACTCTCAACCACTATTAATATAATTATTTCAATAGTGGTTTTATTTCAATGGTGGTTACTAACTATGTTTACTATTGAAATGCACTCTCAACCACTATTGATATAATTATTTCAATAGTGGTCGTATTTCAGTAGTGGTTACTAACTATGTTTGCTATTGAAATGCACTCTCAACCATTATGGATATAATAATTTCAATAGTGGTCGTTATTTCAATAGTGGTTGCAACAGTGCATTCATTTTGTAAATTATTCTCATATGGGCTACATTCCACCTAATTAGATATTTAATTGTTTTTATTATGCTTAAATTATTATTGTACATTCAAATAAGTTATATTACTAAACTTTAAATATAAAATGTAAGTAGGAAGGTTTATTGTCTGATAACTAAGAATTAAACTTTAAAATATAACAGAAGACTACTTCACCTCAAAATCACCATTAAAGCCACATGTTGGATGTTAAATGAATTAGAGGGAAGGAATTTAACTGTGAAAAAAAGTCATCAATCCTTATACTAATCACTCTTTGTTACAAATTTAACGTTGAACTTGCTTACAGACATCAGAATGTGAAACACTAACCTACAGACAACAGGTGGGAGGAATCAGTACAGTGATTTAGGGAAGGTCATGACTGACAAAGCACTGTGTCTTAACACATTTTTAAATACAAAAGTGTATTGTAATAATGATAAAAAAAAAATTACTGGTCAGAAATATTTGAGTGAAAAAAATATATTTAAAAAGTTTATAATCTTTGCATTAAAACGGTACTTTAGTTAAGATTCAAACGGAAAATACTCGGATGTTAGATTCAAAGTAAATTAAGCATAACATGTCAATTAACTTTTGATGACGTTAATATTTTTAATTGTTTGTTTGTTTGTGGTTTTGTTTTTATGTTCATGACAAAATATTCAATAAGTATAATGTTTAAAAAAATAGAACTTCAGAATGAAATGATTTCCAATTACATAATCATCAATCCTTTACATATCTGTACTCCTGTATGTGTTTTCATTGGCTCAAGGCAAATTGATATGGCGTTTTTGTTTTTACGTAATTTTCCATTGCTTGTGTCAGCCAATGAACCATTTACGCGCAAATTATACGTATAAGCGTCGGAGGTTGCCAAAGTTACAAAGTTTACTTTAAGGATATAATTCCTCAGATTGGAAACCTGTAAGGGTAAGAATTCTGAATTGATGGCTAATTCTCTTTTTCATCAGCTGATTCCTCTAAAATGCATCGTGAATGTGCTTCAGTTTTAATGTTTGCTTTTAAAACAGTGTTTATATATTTCTGCACTGGGAAACCTTCAAAGATTAAATAGGTTTGCATTCGGCGCTTATTTGTTTACTCGTTAAACCTCCCTTTTGAGAAATGCTTACTCATAACGAGACGCCATCGTTTGCCCGCAAAGGGCTACAAACTGAGATATATGTACTCGGTTTTGACGGCCATTGAACAATAAGGAGTCTTTTAATATCAGCAAGTAATGAGAAATAGGACCTCAGTTTAAAAGGTCTCATCCGACGTACCTTTTTCTATGTCTTGTATTTGAATCTGAAGCCGCGACGTAAAAATCAACAATTACTAAGCAAGTCTAAAACAAACAATCTTACTACTGTGCCACACGGGCGATTGTATTGTACTGTTTTTTTTAACGTCCCTCTCGAGCATTTTTCACTTATCAGGAGACGCCACCAATTGCCGTTGGAGAGCTCCAAAATTTTGTCCTATACTCGACACGTACGACCATTGATCAGTAGGGGATCTTTATCTTGCCAGTTCCAACAGCAACACAAGACCTCAGTTTATACGGTCTTATCCGAAGGACCGGCCCCTCTGAGCCCCTAATTTGAGAGGTCAGCCCCTTTTTTGTGATTCCAAATGAAAGATCTTGTGATTTTGAAGATTTTTTCTTATTTAGAGATTTTTTTTCGTTGTGGAGATATGCTGAATGGAAATATTTAGGGGTCATCGCTCAAGGTCCTCAATGGGACCATTTTACAAAAATTCAAAGTATGTATATTGTTTAGAACATTTTTTTGACCATATTTTGTTCAATATTGCTTATCAAAATATTCCCCCAATTTTGAGATATAAAGTATCAAAGATTTGATATTCTGGCCCCTTGTGACCCTTATTAGGTAACATATGATCCAAATTTTATCATATATTGTTGCAAATCGTTAAGATGAAAACCTTTGCTTCTGTAATGTATCAAAAAATTGATCATTTAAGAGTTAAAGATGAAAGACTTTTGGCCCCTCTGAGCCCCTAATTTGAGGAGACGGCCTAAAACGATATCAAATGAAAGGTATTGTGATTTCAATGACTTTTTGTTCAACACCTATTCAGAGATTACTTGCCGTTATAGAGATATGCTGTACGGAAATATTTAGGGGCCATCCCTACAAGTCCTTAATGAGGCCATTTTACGAAAATTAAAAGTGTGTATATTGTTAAGAACATTATTCTGACCATCTTCTGTTCAATATTGATTATCAAAATATTCCCCCTTTTCTAGATATAAAGCGTCAAAAATTTAGAATTCTGGCCCCTTGGGACCTCTAATTACGCAACATATATTCAAAACTTTATAATATATGGTTGCAATTCGTTTCAAATGTAAAAATAAAAAGCGATAAAATATTTTGGACACACGGGGGATCGAACCCGGGTCGCCCGAGTGAGAATCAAACGCGCAAACTATTTAGCCATTTGGATCCCCGCTTCAATTTTTCAAATGCAAATATCTCGAGATTGAATTTTTCGATTTTAAAACAAATTACATGTTTTAATTCTGCAAAAGGGTCTTCATTCAATTCGAAAACAAAAATATAAAAAAAAAAGTTAAAAAATTGCGTTTTTTAATTCGCTTCCGGTAGCGACCGGAAGTATTGACGACACACGGAAAGGTGATTTTGCAAACCTATAAGTCATGAACTATTATCTCCAATAAGTACCCAGTTCATATCTTAATATCTTATATCATGTTTTGCTACTAAGTTAAGACAAAATCGCATTTTAAAATCAGGAAATTGTCGATATCTCACGAGCAGAAGTGACGTCATCGACAAAACAAATTTCCGAAATCGCGTGCACAAAATCGGAAAGAATAATAATAATAGGGAAAGAGAAACCGAACAAAAAACAATAAGGTCTTCCGTTGGAAACGGAAGACCTTGATAAAAAGAACTACGAACGATAGTATTATTCACCCGCCTACATCTAATAAATTTTTAAAAGTTAACATATTTGAATGATTTTTATACTTTTATAGATATTTGTATGATTTTTTGAAAATATTAATTATCTGGGAAAACAGAGAGAGATAACTCTATTTTTTTTTTCAATATAGAAGTCAACAGAAAACGGAACATATTTTTAAAACATACCCCCACCACGTGAAACAAAAAAAACAAATAGTAAACATGGATTTTTTGCATCACAAATCGATACCAATACTTTTGTGTTTCACGGGGAAACATTTGTTTACAAAATACGCATTTTTTCATCAATTTCGAAGGGGTTTACAACTAAAACAGTTCATTTATCAATAACATATGTTTAATTTCATATGTGTAAAACATAAAGAAAGATTTAAGGAACCTTCATCCATATCCAAGAATATTTCAAAATATGCTGCTGCTTTCAAGCCCAATTTCAATGGAAACGTCGTCTACCCCCCATAGAAAAAGAATTGGAATTAAAAGTAATTGACTGTTTAACACTGGTATTAAAATTATAAATCAATTACTGTTATAATGTTGAACTCTTTTTAGCATTCAACAAAGATTTTATGGCCAAATTGCCATTATTATTGCATCAAATGGTTGTAAAATGTAGGCGGAAATCTGGAGTTAGCGTACGTAGTACTTTATAAAACAGGTGTCAGTTAAACATTTTGAACAGATGATAACTCTGACTGGAGTACCATTTTAACCTTATTTCATTATGCTGTTTATTCATAATTTTCCAAAAGCTATATGTAATATATCAGAAACAACACCGGTATATATTTTATATAGTTTATCTAATAAGCACAAATATATATACAGCCTGACTACATTGGATATCAGTTAGCAAGTAAGTGTCTTTTGTACAAAAATCGTTTTATATTTTATAGTCTTTGGAGCCTGGGAAACAGGAAATGTAGGTGACTCAATTTCAGAATAATGTCAGTAGGTTACTGAACTTCGTGAGAGTCAGAGAGCTAACTTTGCTTACGTGTCAAATCAATTATAAACAGATTGTGATACAAATCTAGTAAACTCCTAAACATTACAATCCTCCCCTCTTTGAATTTATACTTAACAGATGGACATATAAAAAGTTTTAAAATGAGGTTAAACATTTTCTCAAGAGTCAAGTTCCTTCGCTTCAGCAACAAATGTTTGTCTAATAAAACTGTCATTGTCGCGTGCCGTTAAAGGGTCGCACGTGGTTGATGTTTCGATACGTAGCTCTACCATTAATGTCAATCCTCACAGCACTGCCCTCGTGGGATATAACTGTGAACGGTCCATTCCATTTTGTGTCTACCTTGGATTTTGGCATATTGTTCCTTATCAGCACTCTCTCCCCCGCAAGCAATTTGACAGATTTTGCCTTGAGCAATCGGTCTGCGTATGTTTTAATTCGAATTTTATTTCTTCTGTCCTGACGGTTAAGAATTCTGTTCCTTTGAATTTGTGGCAATTGTGGAATTCTTGTTCTCAATTCTCTGCCGAACATTAATTTTGCAGGTGATTCTCCTGTTGTGCTGTGCGGTGTATTCCGATAATTTTGGAGAAATTTATATATTTCAAATCTCCAATCCTTGCGCTCTACTTTTGCCATTTGTGCAGATTTCTTTAGTGTTGCATTAAACCTTTCAACCTCTCCGTTAGCTTGAGGCCAGTACGGTAAAGTTCTGTGATGTTTAATTCCGTTCCGCGCTAAGAAATTTTCAAATTCATCTGATATGAATTGTCTGCCGTTATCTGTGAATATTTCTTCTGGTAATCCATAGGTTGCAAAAATTCTCACTGGTCGTCTAATAATAGCTTCTTAAGTTACAGTCTTCATGATTTCGATTTCTGGGTATCTGGTATAGTAATTAACTATTACTAATACTTGTTCTCCGGTTGGGAATGGTCCGCATAAATCCATTCCTAATTTTTTCCAAGGTCCTGTGGGTAGGTCTGTCATCGTAACGGGTGCTCTTTGATTTGATTTACATACCATTTGACATGCATGACATGACAATACAGCGGTTTCAACATCTTCGTCCATTTTTGGCCACCACACTTTTTCTCGTAAAAGTGCCTTCGTTTTAACGACTCCTTGATGTGACTCATCTGCGATTTCTAGTGTTCTCTTCCGCAGGGATTGTGGGATGATCATTCGAGCCTGTTTTAGTACAATCGGTCCTCGAACTGCTAGCTCTGATCGGATATGGTAAAAAGGTAAAATTTTGTCCGATTTGGTCCAAGTTCCTGAAGTGATGTTTTCCCGTACTTGTTGCAGCGTAGGGTCGTTTTCGGATTCGCGCTCAATTTCCTCTATGGTCATTGCTTTTGGTACTGCGTGTTCGATTACGAAATTGACATAGTCTTCTGCTCTTGTTTGTTCTTGATTCGGAGTATTATTGTTTGCATTTTCCTGGCGTGAAAGTACATCAGCTGCGTTTTGGCTTTCAGGAGTATAGATCACAGTAAATTTAAATGGTTGTTGTTTCATGATCCATCGTTCTATTCTAGCAGGTGGTTTGTGTTTTGGTGTAAATATGTAGGTAAGGGGTTTGTGATCTGTCAAGATGGTAAAATCTACTCCATACAAATACGTTTGAAATCGTTGGCATGCCCATACGATTGACAGTGCTTCTCGTTCTGTTTGAGAGTACCGTCGCTCCGTGTCAGTGAGGGTACGACTTGCGTAAGCCACTGGACGAAATTCTCCGTCTTCTTGTTTTTGTTCTAATATTGCTCCGAGCCCATAAGGACTTCCATCTACACTTAGTCTTGTTTCTGCGCTTAGTTTATAGTACGCCATAACTTCTGATGATGTTAATAACTCTTTTAGTTGGACGAAATCTTTTGTTTCCGTGTTTCCCCACTCCCATTTTGTTGACATGCGTGTCAGCTTACGGATTGGCTCAGCTATTGTTGCTAAATTCGGAATGAATCTTGCACAGTAATTGACAAGTCCAAGAAAACTGCGGATTTCTTGTACATTACTGGGTTGTTTTGCTCTCTGAACCGCTTTGACTTTCTCTTGGTCGACTTTAATTCCTTCTTTGGACAGTATGTGTCCCATATATTTCAGCTCTGTCTTGTAAAATTCGCATTTCTCTTTGTTCAGAGTCAGATTACTCTCTTGAAGTTTATTGAAAACTTCCCGAAGCGCTTTATCATGTTCTTCTTTTGTTTTGCCGAAGACAATTATATCCTCTGATATATTCTTACAGCCTGTGATCCCTTGTAAGACTTGCTGTATTATTCGTTGGTAAATTTCCGGTGCACACGAAATTCCAAACATGAGCCGTTTGTATCTGTACAAACCTTTGTGGCAGACAAAAGTTGTTATGTTTCTTGAATCTGGCTCTAATTCAATTTGATGAAATCCCGATTTAAGATCAAGTTTTGAGAAACATGTTGCTCCGTTCATTTCTTGTAGTGTTTCTTCTACATTCGGAACAGGAAATCGTTCCCGCATTATCGCATTATTTGCTTGACGCATATCCACACAGATTCGCACGTCGTTTTGCTTCGGTTTTGGTATGCAAACAAGAGGTGAAACCCATGGTGTCGGTCCCTCAACTTTTTCAATTACATCTAAATTTTCCAATTCATCAATTTTGTTTCCAACAGCTTCACGCATGTGATATGGCAGACGGCGTATGGGTTGAGCCACTGGTCGTACTGTGTTGTCTACATGTAACTTGAGTTGAAATTTCTTTAGTTTTCCAAGCCCAACGAAAAGGTCGCTGTATTCCTGAACTATTGTTGAAGCTTCTTTTGTTATCTCTTGGATGAAATGCTGCTCCAATTTAATCAACTTTAATTGCTCAGCTGTTGTTTTGCTGATCAAGTTTCCATATTTTCCGGGAATGACATGGAAAGTTGTTCGAATAGATTCGCCGTTATGTTTCAACTCTGCCGTAATGATACCAAGTTGTTTCAGTGGTTTTGGTGATCCGTATGCAAAAATTTCTGATGTTGGGTGTTTCAAAGCTTTATTGTCCGGGAACAAGGTTCGAAATGTTACTCCGTCCAGAATGTTGACACTAGCTCCAGTATCAATGACAACACTTACATCTTTGTTGTTGATTTTAACTTTGATTGAAGGTGTTTTATTATTAGTTACACTGAAGGCAAATTCAGGGGTAGTATTTTCAACAACGCAATTAAGGCACTTGGTGTTGCACACTTTTGCAAAATGACCTTCATTTCCACATTTATTGCACTTTTTTCCCCGTGTTATTCTGCAGTCACGACCAAAATGACCTTGATTTCCGCATCGGTAACATCGTTGGTTGTTTCTAGGGGATTGGTGTTGCCCTCCGGGTCCTTTGTATCCAGGAAGTTGTTTTCCATGACCTCTGTCATTCCGTTCCCATGCACGACTAGGTTTTGGTTTTTCGAAATTTGGAAACTTTTTCTATTTCATCTGTTGGTTAATTTTGTTGACCTCCTGTGGAATAGCTGGATTTTCTTCCATTTTCTGTGCTTGACTATCTGACATTTCTACGGCCCTTGATATTTCCAGTACTTTCACTAAGTTGAGTTCTTTTTCTCGCAGAAATCTTCTTCTTAGTGCTGTTGATTTGCATTTATCGATGACCTGATCACGTATATTGTCATCTTTTGCCGCTCCAAAGTCACAAGATATTGCCAGTTTTTGCAATCGTGTCACAAAATTTGTAACTGTTTCATTTTCATTTTGTGATGCCTGACGAAACATATGTCTTTCGAAAGCAACGTTTTTTCTTGGTGCAAAGTAGGTATTTAAATTATTAGCTATATCATCGAAGTTCTCACCTGTATGTTCAATAGTATCATATATGTCCTGAACTTCAGGTCCTGCTAAATGTAGGAGAAGCGCACGTTTTTGTTTCTGAGTAGTAACTCCGGATGCTTCCATATAATAATTGAATCTCTTCATCCAATCTTCCCATCTTTGGGCTACATTTGTTAGTTCTCCTCCTATCACGAACTGAGGTACACAAGGTAAATCGATTTTCGTTGCCATATCTTCAAATTTAATTGAATCTCAGATTTAACTTCTCCAACAAATTAAATCACAGAGTTAACATGTTTTGTACATCCTCGTCGCCATTGTAATATATCAGAAACAACACCGGTATATATTTTTCATAGTTTATCTAATAAGCACAAATATATATACAGCCTGACTACATTGGATATCAGTTAGCAAGTGTCTTTTGTACCAAAATCGTTTTATATTTTATAGTCTTTGGAGCCTGGGAAACAGGAAATGTAGGTGACTCAATTTCAGAATAATGTCAGTAGGTTACTGAACTCTGTGAGAGTCAGAGAGCTAACTAACTTTGCTTACGTGTCAAATCAATTATAAACAGATTGTGATACAAATCTAGTAAACTCCTAAACATTACAATATATATATATATATATATATATATATATATATATATATATATATATATATATATATATATATATATATATATATATATATATATATATATATATATATATATATATATATATATATATATATTACATCTGATTCGGAACTGATAAATTGAAGCTTCTATTTTTTTTTAATATTCTGTGTATGTTAAAGTAAAATATTCACTTTTTGTATGATATTTTGGTAAAGTATGAAACATGTGATAAACATCAACTAAGTGAACAGCAAACAACCAGTAAATTATAAATTTATTACTTTATCGTGTTAAGCAGAAAAAAATATTTTAGATAAAAAAGTCTATTATCCTTAAAAATTCCAAAAAATTAATATATTCAATTATATTCTGAGCGAAATAACTAAAAGATTAAAAGTTGAAACGCAGCACTGTTAAGGCCTACTATGAAAAATCAACGGAAAATAGACTTGCAAAAAAGGGGATTTTTTTTAAAAACTGAATTTATTTTGATCAAGCCGTTTTATCATCACAGAACTTAAATACTTATGGAAATAACACAGTATGACCCACTCTGTACTGTATGAAGTTTGGTCCCATCGGTGGACAGTCACGTGATGAATGCATAAGTCGTGTACCGAATGTAGGTCATTAACAAATTTCAATATCGCAAGGGCATACCCTAGTTGAAATTAGAAATTCAAGCTATTAATTGTTTCTGCATACTTCATAGCTTCTGAAAAGTGCTGCTGCTTTGTATAGAATTCGCGTTTTAATAGTTAGATTTTCAAGTAAATAGACCAATGTCGAATTATGTTTGACTTTTAGCAAATATTTTGTGAACTTATAAAATCACGCCCTCGATTTAAAGAAAGCAGCAGCACTTTTCAAGTTAAGGAAAATATCTTTTATCAATATTGAAAAAAATGGTTAAGATCTATTCAGTGTATGCCCTTGCGAAAGTACGATTTTATGAGGCATCTCGATGTAAAATATATGTAACCTGTACATAAAAATACGACATAATTAATAAAATACATTCTCTTAATAGTTAATGAATAATCGCTCTAAATAAAGGATATACATTGGTATTAATCGACTATTAAAAACCTGTAAATAATATTCCGTTTAATAATAAAACGCATTTTTCATTGTTAAATAATTCCTTAATCTGCCTCTCACAGTACATGAGATACGTCATTTTTACCAAAATGACGGCATGTTTACAAGTTCATCCTGATCAGTGCTTTCTTTATAAGCAGCTACATGGGATTTAACTAGGAACTTTTTTTAATGCATTGATAAGATTTATTACTATTTATTATGCTAATACAGTTAGAAATTGCAAATTATTTCATTTTCATGTTTTATTAGAAATACATAAAAGTCATATTTTTGTGTGACTTTACAGTAAACTTTTCCCGTATAAATTAGGCCCCGCCCCCTTTTTCAAGCCTTCACAATGCTGCGAAATTAAAAAAAATAATCTCTTCTGTTCGTTTTAGATGAAGAACCTCACCTTACTCGTCCTCTTTTGCTTTCTGTCCCTGGTAATTGTTGACCCGGTCGTTAGTCAGGGTTATTGTTCAACGACTTGTCGAGACTGTAACAGGTACTGTAGGAAGCAGGATTACGCCAAAGCAATCTGCCGACGATCAGACTTCTGTCCGCGAGATATCCCAAACAGATGTGATTGCTTCTTTAGAAAGTGGCATGCTTGATGAAACAAGGAATAACATGCAATATGAACATTGACTATATTATAGAATATAATAATATTTATAAAAACAAATGTAAATCGTGTTTTAAGAATAAATGCATAATATTATTCAATATTGTTTGTTCTTTAGTGGTACCCATAACTTTTGGCTGTTATAACTCTTATTAGCAAATACAAACTATCAGAGTGTTGCATTTCTTAACTGAAATTTTACGTACAGAGGGCACTCAAGGGAGCAGTTCAAGCAGGCACTCAAGTAAAGCTATACCAATATTAAATTTAACTGCGGATAGATATGTACATGTATGTCCCCTACCAAATGTAAATTTTGGAATAAATGACAGCTGAAAACCTTAAAAACCATGAAAACAAAATCCCATGAATTATTAGGAAACCATGACAGTTTAACAGATAAGAAGAAAAGTAATCACTTTATGTTCACACTAAAAGACATAATATTATGTTATTGTAAATCATTTTTTTTTATTTAAGAAATAAGGTATCATTTTTTGAGTTTTATTGAGATGTAAAACGGGTTGGTCACGTGATCAAATCCCGTAAAGCCCGAAGGGCTTTATGGAAGATTTGATCATGTGCCAACCCGTTTTACATCTCAATAAAACTCAAAAAATGATACCTTATTACTTATATTTACATATGTGACTAATTCATACTTTAAATTTGCCTGATTGTTATTTTTAACGTGTGAAATGCATTGATTTTTCAAACCCAACGGCATGTATGTAATCCACTAAACGCGTGTTGACCCTTTATGACGTCACAGAGAAATTACGTCGAACGTTTATCCAAACGCACATCTTTGACCTCTTGACCCCATACCTGTATTTACACAGTTATAAAAACGCTTGCCTTCAGTAGTGTTATATAAAGGAAAACATTTGCAAATGTAAATATTTATGGTTAAAGGTACATTAAAAAAATCAAACATATATATTAGGTTAAGTTACTTATTCAGTAAAAATGAGAGCTAACAGACAAAAAATTCACTCTCACTTGCTGTGTGAAATTAACAAAAATAATTTATTTAAAATAAAAGAAACAAAATTATATACAATAAAGTATAAAAGAACATCAAAGATATAGTAAATTAATGAATAAATGAATGTAAAGCAATCAAAGTATAAATTTATTACAGACTGTTCATTTTGTATTATCTTTCTTTTGCTCATTTTTTATATAAATCACGTATGTTCCCTTTTCATTTCACTTAATACTTTTAATACAACATTGCAGATAAAATATAACAAACTCTGTAAATACATGTACATCAATGGAACAATGTACCATATATCATAAATAAATTATTTTCCGATTCATTTTTATTGCACATTGATAGCCTTAAAAAAAGATTTAGAATATTTACAAGTATGATATCACTTCCTTGTGGACATAAAAGGGATTATAAAATAATTTTTATTTTTCAAAAGGAAAGGTCATTTGATTATGTCAATATTTGAAAGACCCCACATGCAGAGTCATGAATAGTCGTTTTCAAAAACCATCAACAACTACGTTTTTGATTCTAATTGAATTTCCTAATTTCGCAGAGCACACGCTGGGTGTGAACAGTCGGGAGGGGATGCTCACTCCTCCATGGCACCTGATCCCACCTTTAATGTTTAGAGGTCCGTGTTTGATCTGCTCCTTGTATTGTTTAATGGGCTTTTGAGCTTGAATACTATTTGTTATCTCTATACATTTCCCTTTACATCACCTGTCCCTCATTCTTCTAAAAAAATAACTCCCTAATTATCCCTTAGGGTCTAATTTCACTTTTGTCAAAGGAATCAATGATGAAGCATTCGACTGAACATACCTATCATTTATACTCAGGAAACAAATTTGTCATGGTAAACTAATGCTCAAAGGAAAAATAGACCTGAAACCAATCTATAGAGCACAGGTGTCCATCCCATCTACAAATACAATCAAATTGCATGGTCTGATATATGCACTTAGTTTTTATTTTCGAAACATGGCAGTTTATTTATTCTAATTAGAAAACGTTTTACTAACACTTCCATCTTAATGTATTACTGTTTTCTTAAGATTTAATTGATTTTTCTTTTATTTTCAAATGTTGATATAAGGGTATTGAATCTCATATTGATTAGGTCTTAGTTTAAAAAAAAATTGGATAAGTTTCATTTTTAGTTTTTCCATCTATCACAGTTATAAATCATGTTATCTTAAATAAACCCATCATACGGTTAAAATTAGAAAAAAAAATAGAATGCTTGAAATTTCGGTAATTTTACCTCATATTGTAGATGTTCTATGAACAAATCACAATTCTATTGCAATTGCCAATGTTCCAAAGTTTATTTTGGGGTATGACATGGTTATTCTGGTGATCATTTTTTTTATTACAATTCATATTCATTTTATTCTGTAGTATCTAAGGTACCCTAGATTCTTCCTTTCCTTTCATTAAGAGACTAGAAAGATAATTTCATCTTGTAAGATACCTTCTGCACAATTTGAAACCATTAAAACTACGAACTGCCATGTTTCTTTTCGACTTTCTATTATTCTGCAATTTTTCAGTAACATTTCTCATTCCAAGACAATTATTTTTTCTCTCAAGGTATATCTATTTTTTTTTTCATTTTGATAAATTAAAAAAAAATGAGGGAAAATTGAATTAAGCTTAAATTCTTAACTTCTTGTGACGTGTTCAATTCATTAACAGAAAGTTTTAAATCAATTTGACATTAACGTATTCTTAGGTTGAGACTTCAGATTTACGTCTTTATTTAAAAATGAATCGTTTTAATACAACCCTCTTTTGAATCAGCCGCTAATGAAATAATCATCATAATATTTATTGCAAACGAACTGCACAAGATGTAATGGGAAATCAGTTTTTACAGTCTCTGTGTTACAAAGACAAAGAACGCTATTTCTGGGGTGAAGGTAAAAATTGAACATATATTTTTTCTCCATTATGTTCTAAATTCAAATTCTACTTGGTTATTTTAACTTAATTGTATGGTTGTAATATCATATGCAAGATAATCAATATTTAGAGTGTGTACGATATCCGGTGGTCGAATCAGATATATATTTTTTTGAATTTAGAAATGACATTCCCATCTATGTTTAGTTTATTACCAGATCGTACCAAAATATAATCTATGTAACAACATATACATTAATTTCAACTCTATGATCTGGAGTATGTGTTAAAATTCATTAATGGATGAAAACTAACCGACAAAATATTCTATTCATTATTGTTAAAAATTGCGACGCTGAACAATAATGAAGTAAACCAAATTAATCTTCAGTATTGAGTGGAGAATGACACATGTTCAAATAACAAAAGAGATGGAAGCGATGGAACAACATGTTCAAACAAGTGTCCCAGACACCAGTTTATATGAGATTCAAGGGTAACTAAACTAGTTATTTGATGGTACAGTTGTTTGGGATATTTATGGAATTAAATGACGAACTAAAAGTCAGAAGATTCCAATCATATATGAATATTGTATATGTAGTATAATAACTCCAGATGGCTGGAAAATTGTCTAAAATGTATATATTTGAAAATCGTTCGAATTCTAAGGTTAGTAGTTCGTTGAGTATGGCTTACAAACAAAAAATAAAATGTTATGTTAATTCTCTACGTCAAGAAAATCTAAAAATCTACCATTGCGTATCAAAAAAGAGTCCATGAATTACATTTTGATGTTTGACACTGACAGCTAATCAGTGAGATTGGTCTAAATGAAAAATATTATTTAAAGAGAGATTTCGTTTAGAAAATGCTCGCATTTTCTTGGAAAACCGTCGTTATTTATTTGAAAGCTATTAAATCTGCTTGGATTATACTTGTATTAAATGAAAAAAAAAGTAAATAAAAAACTAACCAACCAAATCGTCGGTTGGGTTTCTTTTTTTATTTCAAGCTGAGTGAAAGTGATAAATTCAAAATTGCATCAATTCAAGATTTAAGAACACAATATAAGTTAAAATCTGCTTTATCATGAAATAAAATCGATGGTTTTGGTAAAATCTACCATTGATTCCTAGGCCTTCAGTATTGAATTTGTATCACATGTGTAGTCTGGTTATCAACTGATTTTGAATTTATATATGCATAGTGTCAATGATTTTTTTGAATTGTTCTTTAAAACAATTATTTTAATTTTAATAATTGAAATGAATTTGAAAATATAGTTCAAGGAAGTTAGCTACAATGCGTTAATTCTAAAAAAAAAATATATCTCTATGCATATTTCCAATGACCATTTAGATGAAGACAAAGACGATTCTCGTGATGTTGTTCCTTCTCTCTCTTATGGTTCTGGATTATGTTCTCTGTGGGGAACTGTTACAATAAGCGAAGGGACTGTACTTACCAGAGCTGTTATAGACGATGTCTGCGGGACAATTACATAGGCGGATCCTGTGAGTGGTCGGGAAGGCGATACAAGTGCAAATGTGTGGAAAGTATGGGATGAATCGGGGTTGAAAACACAGATACAACCAAGAGCTTACAGCTGAAAAGAGATAAGAAATCACCTTTTTAAAAAAGAATAAATTCATTCTGGTTAGGTTTAATTGTTCGTAGATTTTAAGGGCAACACAAGGAAATGTCAGCACACTCATTTTTCGCATATATGGGTAGAGGGAAACGAAAAACATTTCTACATTGGAGACGTGGGCTAATAATAAAAGCAATAATTTTGAAATATTGTATTTATTTACATGTAAAAGATAAAAAGAAATTAAAGAAAATTTATCAGAACAAATGTTTAATGCAAATTAAAGTTCATTCTTTTTAAACAAAAATAAATATAAATGCTTTAAGTTCGCGTTAGGCAAATTCTATGATAAATGCAATGACCTTGTGAGCAAATTTAATCAATACGTTTATTTATTCAAACGTCGATTTATGCTTTTCGTACAAAATGTTAGACTGTATTTTACCCACAGAATTGTCTATGTGTTTTTCCATTTGCCTGATCAGGACAAAGTGGTTTCGGCGGGTCTGATTGGTTGACACGGAGGGTTTTCCTCTATAGCACCTATACCCACCTCTGATCTTTTTAAAAGTATTTTGTCTTCTGCTCCTAAATTGTCT